TTAAGAATAGCTTATCTCATTTCTCGTGGGTCTCCCCACTGTACAAGTATATTAGAACATGGGCTGGTCTGAAGGGTATAAGTGGAAAATGAAATAAATCATCCATTTGACAATGGAAATTTATGTGCCAAGCTTTCACGTGGCTCACACGTGGCTATGCACATGCATCCCCTTATGATTAGGATTTTTAAATTTTTTTGGGATCCAACAAACTTTGATTAGTAATGGCCACCACCAAAAGCTATTATTTTCTGTAGGTGATTGGATTGGATTGTTTCTTTTTGACCCGGCCCATTAATTCGGGTGGACTAGGCTTAAAAAGAAACATGGGCTGGACTCGGCCCATTTTCTGATGGGCTTATATTAAATTATCTCCTTGCTCGTATGTTGGAGAAAATGGGCCGGGCCTTATTGCTTCCTGAATGGCCCCCTACAAAACTTCGTGGGCCGGCGACCAATATTGGAATGCCGACACATTAATCATCGACAGATCTATTAAAAAGAATGTTAATCAGTGCTGATACGCTTTCGCCCTTTGACCACAATACTTTACTCTGGGTGCCACGTCATCGTGAAATACTTGCCTTATTTTATTTTAAACTATATTATATTATAATGAAATATTTTATTTTGTTTTAAAACTCTTCTCACTATTGAAAATTAAAGTCATCGCCCGCCAAATTTTTACAATTTTCCGAACAAGTCCTTGCCTTTTTTTTTTTTTTTTTTTTTTTTTTTTTTTTTTGTTTATTTATTTATTTATATTATTTTGTACGTAGCTTCTTGGCTTAGTTATGGCGTCCGCTTCTACCGTTCCACTTACAATTCCTCCGTCGGTTTCTCGGCCTTTCTCCTTGCCGGCTTGAACTTTGTATTCTCTAGCAGAATCCCTAGGAGTTCATCTTCTTCTTCCAACTTTTTAGTTCTTAGATTTTGTTTACTTTGCGTCTCATTGAGGCGGAGGCGATGAAATAGCAGTCAGGGAAAGCGATTCAATCAGTGGTATGGAAATTTACGCACACTTGTGTTGTTTATTTGTTTGGTGTTGCTTTTCTAAATTAATTAGGGTTTTCTTTCATTATATTCTCCTCGTGGCCCTTCGCGCTTGGACTTTTGTTTTTCTAATACAAAAAGTTCGCAGGCGAGGCGTTCGGGCCAGGGGTACTCGTTGTTCCAAACAAATATTATACAATATAATGGCCAAGATTTTATTGACATTGATTTTCACGAGTCTTTGTTCTCCGGCTAAGCAGTATTTCACGTCGTTACTCTTTGATTTTGAAATTAGTTTCATATGATTTGCTCGTTCCTGTTGGTTTTGCTCGCATGATTAAACCATTTAATTGAATTTAACTTGATAGTTCTTGAGCTTCCACAGCTGATTAATTGGTAAAGTGCATTGGTTACTCTATGAAGATGAAGTGGCCTTAACAGTCCGAGTTTGGAGACTGGTTAGATTTATTTGGGGAGGAAGTATTGTGACGGCAATAAAACCTGCCTCTACTGTAGACTTCAGATATAATCATCTAGACATGATATTGCACAGAGATTGGGTTCAAAAGAATCAGAGAGTAATAGTTCTGATCATGATATTGTAGAAAATTAGTAAATGAACGCGATGGAGAAGATTCATTCTCTTAAACACCTATGTAGAGGTCTCTTATTTGAGTCTTTGAGTAAACCCTTGATGCCTTCAAAGGTTGTGCATTAGAGTAATTGCAGACCCACAAAAACAGACGAAAACAAAGAATCGCTATAATTTGGGAAATTTCACATCTGGGATAAAAGATTGGGTCATGATCTCATTATGATTCTTGGGAGGAAAATGGTTCACTGTTAGTGTATTAAATAATTTGTTGGTTTCATACATCTTACGTTTATTTTCCTGAGCTTTCCCTAATCCTAAGTATAGCTGCAAATGATGCAATGATCAGAGAATAATCTTTCTATCACGCTTCCCTTTTGCGTTATATGACTCTTACTCTGCTTGTTCCATAGGTGTATTCCATAAGCCTCTTTATTTATCTGAGCTTGTTTTGCTTTTGCCCAACTTGCAGCAGCTCGGTTTTCTGGCCTTTTAAAAAGTTCACCAATCTTAGTCCAGTCCACTGGGTAGAACGCTGCAGGTGGCAATACGGTGACATTGAAACCAAGTCTAGCTGTGGCTCCTGTTACCTTTGACATTACTCTGGAGACCAGAAAAGGTCCATTATATCCCCATCTGCTCCCATCAAAATTTGATGCGAAATCTTCCATGAATTTCTCTAAAAGTGGATGATTCTTATCAAAAACAAGAACAGCATTATTCAGTATTCTCCAGTTCTTAGATACTGGATCAATACTTTGTGCGCCAATTGAGTTCTTCAAACCCATGAAAGACTTCAAAACAATAAAATCTGTATCGATGTAAACACCTCCATACTTGTATAAAACTGCAAGTCTCATGAGGTTAGATAGATTCTGAGCTAAAGGAATCTGACCTGGGTCTTTTTTTCCTCTCTTCAACTCATCAAACCAAACCTCCACCGGGGTGTTTTTGAACAGCGAAGGCAAGTCCGGTGTTATTGCCTGAATTTTAAACCCATGATCAAGTAGAGGTTTAAGAATCTGGCAGCCTCTTTCTGAATCCAGTGTTCTTGATAGAATAGTTAAGCATCCACGTGGGTGAGACTTAAAAACACTTTCTACTGCCATTAATTCTCTGCCCCTGAAAGACCTTGCTGGAGATACCCATGTCATGAAGAACTGTGTCTCACACTTTTGGCTGAGGAACTCCAGAAATCGATCGTGGAACTTCTGCGTCAAGTTGTTAGACTGCAAAATCCGAAAGTCAGGAAGATGCTTCCTAAACCAATCAATTCTTGCCTTTTTTCCTGAAAGATTGGATGGAATTACTAGCGAATCGAAAGTTTCACTGTCATTATCATCTCTGTTATTTGGCGAGGACTGCAGTGGCTCTCCAACTAAAGTTGGCTCAATGTGCACTTGTGTGATGTGCGCAATTGTTGAGTTTGAACTGTTTTTCTCATATATGGATACTGTTGGAAAGGAAACTTTGTAGATTATGCAATCTCCACATATGAGGAAGATGATGGCAGCGAGCAAGATGGCTGGCAATATGGGTGTTATAGCACACCTTTCGGACATTTCTTACAGGAGTTTTTTTCCCACAAGAGAAGCTTAATCCAGATATATGCAATGAGGCTTATTAGGATAAACTCATGATTTTAGGGAATTTGTTGTCGATCACACCAATGGAAGACACAATTAGAAGGAAATTAATTTATTCAGGCGGATTGCTTGGTCTCCTGGATGAGGTTGGTCATATTTTATAAAGTCCACAGAAGGAAATAGAATTGAATGGGTCAAATCTAAGATTTCAAGAACGGTGGCGAGTGCTTATCACAAAGGTGGTGTTTTAGTTATAAAAATCCAACCGTCGAGTATGAAAGCATTGAAGTGAACATTTTCTTTCATAGAAGACTTTCACATTATGAAATAACGCAGGTACTGTACTTCATGGTTGACCAGCAGCCTCCAGTTTCGGTCATTACATTTCAAAAGGTGAAGAAAAGGAGAGGGAAAGTTAGGTTCATTATAATGACACATGTGGGCAAGATGAAGGCAAAGAACATTAGAATAAGAAATTATGGCAGCAACGGGGAGATGGGATGACAACTAGAGATCTCACACGGTTGGAGCAAAACATTTTTTATAAGGGTGTGAAAACTTTTTCATAGTAGACACTTTTTTAAAACCGTGAGACTGATGATGTTATGTAACGGGTCAAAGCGGACAATATTTACTAGCGGTACTCGCGAGTTGTTACAAATGGTATTAGAGTCAGACACCGGGTGATGTGCCAACAACGAGAATGTTGGACTATCAAGGGAGGTGAATTGTGAGATCCCACGGTTGGAGAAGAAACAAAACATTTTTTATAAGGGTGTAAAAACTTCTCTCCAATAATGCGTCTTAAAACCATGACCCTGATGACGTTACGGATCAAAGCGGACAATATTTAGGTGGCTTTGGGCAGTGTCCAAATTGCCCAAGTTTTGTGCAACTAACTCAATTGCGTACTAAACATTTGAAGCATACAACTTACAGGTTCGTTTACTTGGTTATTTGTTATCCAAATTGTTTTTCTGCAGGTAATTGCTTATCATTGTGGTTACATGCGGACGTGTTTGGTGCCCACATATCTCAGAGGAGCCACAATAAGAAATGCAGCCTCATCTACAACTTCAAGCAATGAGAGGTAGGAAGAAATATCATTCTGAAGTTCTTATTACTATTATATAAAACTTTGTCTATCAAGCTTCCAGTATTACTTACATTTACCAAATATAGTGGACAGGATTTAACAGAACAAAAAGGAATTCTTCAAAACTTCTTTATTATATTACATTAATTCAGTACGTTTTTAGTTTTGAATTAGAATATTTTCTTTTTTGTAAAGATAATAATGTAAAACGGTTTCATCAAAATTAATTGTCAATTTTTATTACTCTTCTAATTTATAAAGAAATCTAGTCTTTTGGTACTATTTATTTAATTCTTAAAGTTGGTATATTAATAAATTTTATTTAATTGCATCAATACAAACCTATTTTGTTGAGACGGATATCTTTATATAGAACGTATAGAATAAAAGATACCAATTTTTATTTTTTATTTTTTTTTATCAATACAACTAATAAATAGTAGTGTAAATATGAATATAATTTAAACTATTTATTTAATATAACTACTAAAATATTTTTTTTTATAAAGTATTATATATATTAGAGTGTTTCCACCAAAAATGTCATAAATATCACCATAAAAATGAAGTAAAATATCTTTTTCATGAATTAATGTTAAAACGTCTACCACCGAACCACCATGAATGCTGTCGAGCTAAGATAAGACTTCTGAATCATTTAAAACTGACCAAACGGGTCATTAAATGATAACATCCAAAAAGAATTTGAACCTATTGCTACCATTAAGATACTTCACTAAGTTTATCCTTCCAAGGAGGCTGATAGATCAGGCTTTGTTCCATTACAAAATCTGGTATTTCCCAACAGGATGAGGCCTCGCTGCGATGCCCACATAATTTTTTACTCTTTTTTATGTCGCATCTTTCTGATGTCCATGAGCTGCTGGGCTTTCGGAAATGAATCAGATCGCTTGGCTCTACTCGACTTGAAAAGCAAAGTGCTCAATGACCCACTCAAAATCACGAGCTCTTGGAACGATTCCATGCATTTTTGTGAGTGGGCTGGTGTGACTTGCGACACTAGCATTACAAGAGTAACGGCGTTGAACTTGGAAGGTCGACAGCTGAGTGGTTCCATACCACCTTCCTTGGGAAATCTTACTCATCTCACTGAAATCAGATTGGGAGACAACAACTTCCATGGCCCAATTCTCCAAGAGCTTGGTAAGTTATCACGACTGCGCCATCTCAATTTATCCTTCAATAACTTCGACGGTGAGATCGCAACGAATATAAGTCACTGTACTGAGCTTGTTGTTTTGGAGCTGAGTCTTAATGAGCTTGTTGGTCAGATTCCACACCAATTCTTCACGTTAACCAAGTTGAAACGACTCGGGTTTGGCGGTAACAATCTCATCGGAACTATCCCACCTTGGATAGCAAACTTCTCTTCCTTATTTGCTCTGTCATTTGCACTCAACAAATTTCAAGGCAATATTCCTAGTGAACTCGGACGCCTTTCTAAATTGGAACACTTGAGCGTTTATGGGAACTATTTGACAGGCATTGTGCCGCCTTCCATCTATAATATAACCTCTCTTACTTACTTTTCTCTTACTCAAAATCGACTTCAAGGAACTCTACCACCAGATGTCGGATTTACTCTTCCTAATCTTCAGGTCTTTGCCGGTGGTGTCAATAACTTTGGAGGCCCGATTCCGACATCCTTGGCTAACATCTCCGGTCTTCAGGTCATAGATTTTGCTGAGAACAGTCTCGTTGGAGCGCTACCGCATGGCTTGGGGAGCTTAAATGAACTGGTGAGATTCAATTTTGATGACAACAGACTTGGAAGTGGGAAAGTTGATGACTTAGATATAATCAGGTCCTTGACTAATTGTACTAGTCTACGCGTTCTGGGTCTTGCTCGAAATCGCTTAGGAGGAGTGTTGCCTCCATCTATTGCCAACCTTTCCAACCACCTCACAATTCTAACCTTGGGGAGGAACTTGTTAAGTGGAAGCATTCCAGTAGGGATTGAAAACTTGGTTAACTTACAAGTTCTTGGAGTAGAAGGCAACCGTGTGAACGGTAGCGTCCCGTCCAGTATTGGAAAGCTTCATAAGTTGTCTATTATTAATTTGAATGGTAACAAGTTAACAGGAACAATTCCATCCTCCATGGGTAATTTATCTTCAGCCACCAAGCTTTTCATGGAGGATAACAGGCTTGAGGGAAGTATACCTCCAAGCTTGGGACAATGCAAAAGCCTCCAAGTTCTTGATCTATCTGGTAACAATCTAAGTGGCAGCATACCGAAGGAAGTTCTCAAACTCTCTTCCCTTTCAGTCTATTTGGCCTTGAACAACAACGCACTTACTGGTCCATTGCCGTATGAAGTGGGTGAGTTAGTTAGTTTAACATTGTTGGATGTATCGCAGAACAAATTATCAGGTGATATTCCCGACAACCTCGGCAAATGTATTAGCATGGTACGCTTGTATTTGGGAGGTAACCAGTTTGAGGGGACGGTTCCTCGATCTTTGGAAGCTTTGAAAGGTCTAGAAGAACTGAATCTCTCAAGTAACAACTTGTCTGGGCCAATTCCTGAATTTCTTGGCAAGCTTTCTTCACTCAAGTTTCTTAATCTATCCTATAATACTTTCGAGGGGAAACTGCCCAAAGAGGGAATTTTTTCCAATTCAACCAAATTTTCCATCCTCGGAAACAATAATCTATGTGATGGCTTGCAGGAATTGCATCTACCTCCGTGCAAATCTGACCAAACCCATTTTTCCTACAAGCTTCTAGCACCAAAAGTGTTGATCCCCGTAGTATCTACCCTCGCTTTCATAGTTATTCTTTTGATCTTCCTATCTGTACGTTTTTTGATGAAGAAGTCGAGAAATGTTTTGACTTCATCTTCCTCTACGGATTTATTACCACAGATTTCTTACTTGGAGCTCAATAGATCAACCAATGGATTTTCTGCAGACAATTTGCTTGGTTCAGGTAGTTTTGGTTCTGTGTATAAAGGTGTTCTTTTGAATGATGGATCAGTTGTTGCTGTTAAGGTTCTTAACCTTCAACAACGTGGTGCTTCCAAGAGTTTTGTTGACGAATGCAAAGCTCTCACAAGCATACGACATCGGAACCTCCTTAAGATCAGAACCTCTTGCTCAAGCACAGATGAAAAGGGGAATGAGTTTAAAGCTCTAGTCTTTGATTTCATGTCTAATGGAAACTTGGATTGTTGGCTTCACCATACAGATATCGAGAAGGGTCAAAGATTGAGCATTATTCAGAGACTGAACATTTCCATTGATGTTGCCAATGCATTGGATTATCTACATAATCACTGTGAAACGCCCATTGTTCATTGTGATCTAAAGCCTAGCAATGTGTTGCTGGATGATGATATGGTAGCTCATGTTGGGGACTTTGGGTTAGCTAGATTTATCCTGGAAGGGCCAAATGAATCCTCTTTTGGACAAACCATGTCACTTGCACTTCATGGCTCTATTGGATATATTCCTCCAGGTATTTTCCTTGCATTCAAACTCATCCATCTTGAGTTTCTGTTGGTAAAATGATGAATGAATGAATGAATGTTCAATTGTAGAGTACGGAAGTGGAGGCAGAATTTCAATTGAAGGAGATATCTTTAGCTATGGAATTCTTCTATTGGAGATGTTCATTGGAAAAAGACCCACAGACAACATGTTTAGCGATGGTGTGGACATTCATCTATTCACAGCAATGGCATTGCCTCATGGTGCGTTGGACATAGTTGATCCTTATTTGCCATCTCAACAGACATGCCAACAAGAACAGGGTGAAGAAAAAATACAAGAAAGAGCAATAATGAGTGAGGAAGATCATACAGAAATAGAGCAAAGAAGGATGGAAGAATGTGTAGCATCAATATTGAGAATTGGGCTGTCATGCTCCTCAAGAACACCTAGAGAGAGGATGTCCATGAGTGTGGTGGTTAATAAGTTGCAAACAATTAAAAGCTCCTTTCTCAAGTGGAAGGAGGCAAGCTAATGTTGTCCGACCAACAAGAGTTTCCAAGAATTTGCAGGCTGGCTTACTTGGTTTATCAGAATCAATGAGCTCCCTCCCTCATCTGTTCATTACAGATCCGACATTTCCCTGCAAGACGAAATACGATTGCAGCAAGGTTAATAGGATTCTGTATTCCGATGATCGGAACTTATTATACACAAGTTTATGAGAACAATTTGACAGGTAAAGTGCCCCCGTCAATCTACAATATAACTTCTCTGATTGACCTGACACTCACTCAAAATCGACTTCAAGGATCTATACCCCCAATTATTGGATTTACATTTCCCAATCTGAATAATTTTAGTGGGCCAATTCCTACGTCCTTTGCTAACATCTCCTATCTTCAATTGTTAGATATATCTGGAAATAGTCTCACTGGAATGATACCTCATGAGTTGGGGAGATTAAAAGACTTGCGAGTACTCAATTTTGATACCAACAGGCTTGGAAGTGGGAAAGCTGGTGATCTAAATTTCATCAGTCTCTTGGCTAATTGTACTAATCTAATGGATTTGGGTCTAATTAAGAATCGTCTTGGAGGAGCACTGCCACCAACCATTGGAAACCTTTCGGACCGGTTGACAAGGATAACCTTGGGTGAAAATATGTTAAGTGGAAGCATTCCTAGTGGGATTGAAAACCTGATAAGCTTGCAAATTCTTGGAATGGAATATAACCATCTCAGCGGTAGAATCCCTCCCAGTATTGGGAAGCTTCAGAATTCGGGTTGGTTGTACTTGGATGAGAACAACCTAACTGGGCCAATTCCATCCTCCTCCATTGGTAACTTATCTTCAATCTCTAGGCTTTACATAGACCATAACAGACTGGAGGGAAGTATACCACCGAGTTTAGGGCGATGCAAAAGCCTCCAAGCTCTTGATCTAACTCATAACACCCTAACTGGCTCTATACCCAAGGAAATTCTTGGCCTCCCTTCCCTTTCAGTTTACTTAGGCTTGGACCATAACTCACTCACTGGTCCATTGCCATCTGAAGTTGGTAACTTGGTTAGTTTGAGTGAACTAAATGTATCAGAGAACAAACTGTCTGGTAATATTCCCAGCAATGTGGGTAATTGTAGGAGCATGGAAAGCTTGTCTCTTGAAGGGAACCAGTTTACTGGAATTATTCCTCCATCTTTCGAAGCTTTGAGAGGTCTGGAAGAACTAGATCTATCAGCCAACAACTTGTCTGGGTCAATTCCACAATTTCTTGCCAACCTTCGCTCACTCAATTACCTCAATCTATCCTATAATAACTTGGAAGGAAAAGTGCCCAAAGAAGGAGTTTTCTCTAATTCAACCATGATTTTCGTCCTTGGGAATAAGAATCTATGTGATGGGCTACCGGAATTGCATTTACCTCCGTGCATGCCTAACCAAACACATTTGTCCAATAAGCGGTTTCTAGCATCAAGGGTGTTAATCCCCATAGCATCCGTTGTCACATTCACTGTTATTTTGGTGTGTATCATTTTTGTGTGTTTTGTGCTTAAGAAGTCGAGGAAGAATGGCTCAACTTCATCTTCTTCAAAGGGGTTTCTACCACAAATTTCTTACTTGGAACTCAGTAAATCAACCAATGGATTCTGTATTGAAAATATCATTGGTTCGGGTAGTTTTGGCTGTGTATAAAGGCGTTCTTTCAAATGATGGATCTATTGTTGCCATTAAGGTTCTAAATCTTCGACAACAAGGTGCTTCCAAGAGTTTTGTTGATGAATGCAATGCTCTCTCGAACATACGACATCGAAATCTGCTCAAGATCATAACATCTTGCTCGAGTATTGATGAACAGGGCAATGGATTTAAAGCTCTAGTCTTCAATTTCATGTCCAACGGAAATCTTGATTGTTGGCTTCATCCTGCAAATCAAGGCCACAACCAAAGAAGGTTGAGTTTCATTCAAAGATTGAACGTTGCCATTGATATTGCCTGTGGATTAGATTATCTCCATAATCTTTGTGAAATCCCTATTGTTCATTGTGATCTAAAGCCGAGCAATATATTACTCGACGACGATATGGTTGCTCATGTAGGAGACTTTGGGTTAGCTAGATTCATGTTGGAAGGATCAAATGACCCATAATCTTTTAGCCAAACCATGTCAATGGCACTCAAGGGTTCTATAGGCTACATCCCTCCAGGTATTCTCCTTTCATCTAAACTCTTGAATCATCTTGCAAGCTACTTCTTCATTCCCTATAGATCCTACTTCAGTTGAGAGGGCAACAAAACATCCCTTACAAGAATGTAGAAACCTTTTACTAGTAGACGTGTTTTAAAAACTTTAAGAAAAAACCTAAAGAGGACAATATCTACTAGCGGTGAACTTGGACCGATACAAATGGTAACAAAGCCAGACACCAGACGGTGTGCCCAAGGGGTGGATTGTGAGATCTCACATCGGCTGGAACAAGCAACAAAGCATTCGTTATAAAGGTGTGGAAACCTCTCCCAAGTAGCCGCGTTTTAAAACCTTAAATGGAAGTTCAAAAGAGAAAGTCCCAATAGGACAATGTCTCCAAGCGGTGGGCTTAGGCGGTTATAGATACTTTATTGGTGTAATAATGAATGCTCTGGGAGCAGAATCTCCATGGAAGGAGATATCTTCAGTTACGGAATACTACTATTGGAGATGATCATCGGGAAAAGACCCACCGACGACATGTTTGGGAATGGAGTGGGTATCCATTTGTTGAGTAGAATGGCAGTACCTCAAGATGCCATGGCCATACTCGATCCTTGTATGCTACCTGAAGAAACACGTGAAGAAGAAGAGAAGGAAGAGAGAATAGAAGAAATGGTGATAAGGAGTGCGGAAGATGGTACAGAAAGGGTACCAAGATGGATGGAAGAATGTGTAGTGTCGATGCTGAGAATCGGCATATCGTGCTCCTGCATTGCACCTGCAGACAGAATGTCAATGAATGTTGTCATCAATGAACTTCAAGCAATTAAAAGCTCCTATCTCAAGTTTACTAAGCCTCGTCCAAGGTACCATAAACATCAGTTTTCCCGAGCTTGACACCCAAATTACTGCCTATGCTTCCCCCCGTTGTTCTTCGACCACTTACCAAGGGTAAGTATTTTAAATAACTTTTCTCAATTGATATGGAATCAATAACTTTTTTTTTTTTTTTTTTGTACAAAATTTTATTTTATTGAAATGAATAAGTAAAAAAGAGTTTTATTAAAATTGGTAGGTAAATCATCAAAAAAAATTAAAATAATGATAAAAAATTATAACGTTATTTAAATTTATGATCTTTGATGAACATGACAAAAGGGTCACTTCAAAGTCTACAGCTATCAACAAATTTTGATAAGAATGGCGATGTCATACATTTATTACCTTGACCTTATCAGGACCCATTACATAGTATTTAGTAACTTTATTAAACTATATTTATTTAATATTTTTTATTGAAAATATTTATTAATTATTTTTATAGAGATAATCTCAATTTTAGTCAATAATAAATTTCAAATAAAAAATAAAAAAAACTTATATTTCATTTTATGTTTATGCATTGAAAAAATAAAATTATTAAATAGTTCATAAAAAATCTATGAAAGCTTTAATATTTTAAGGATAATAGATTATGGCCTTTATTTAAGGAAACAATTTCTTTTGAATTATATTTATTTTGGGTTTGAATCTAATCGTTCTTTTAATTAACTTTGAAAATTGACCATATTTATTTTAACATTTACCATTCAACCACCCGCATTTAAAACAAGGTTGGTGGAACAAGTAATTGACTCATTTTAAACTCACCAAACGGCCATCCAATGAGTAACTTCCAAAGAAAATTACAACTCCATAAAGCTACCAAAGCCGACGATTCGATTTTGCTCGTCCTCGCGAATCCGGCCGTTCTCAGCCGCAACATGAGGCGCAATCCGATTCTGTGCATACTTTTGTACCATACATTTCTGCTATCCCTGAGCTCGACTTCTGCAAATGAATCAGATCGCTTGGCTCTGCTTGACTTCAAAAGCAGAGTACTCAATGATCCATTTGGAATCATGAGCTCCTGGAACGATTCCACGCATTTTTGTGGTTGGGATGGTGTTACTTGCAATTTTACCCTCTGGAGAGTTGTAGTTTTGGAGTTGGAAGCTCGAAAAATTAGTGGCTCTATACCGACCTCTTTTGGAAATATGACTCATCTCACTGAAATCAGGTTGGGAGACAACAAATTCCACGGCCATATTCCCCATGAGTTCGGTCGACTTCTACAATTGCGTCATCTCAATTTGTCTTTCAATGACTTCAGCGGTGAGATTCCGGCCAATATAAGTCATTGCACAGAGCTTGTTGTTTTGGAGTTTGGTATCAATGGGCTAGTAGGCCACATTCCACGCCAGTTGTTCATGTTAACCAAGTTAGAACGGCTCGGGTTTGGTGTTAACAATCTGATTGGAACTATCCCACCTTGGATAGCAAATTTTTCCTCCCTATCTCGTATGTCACTCACATATAACAATTTTCAAGGAAATATTCCCGAAGAATTTGGGCGCCTGACTAGATTGGATTTCTTCTCAGTTTCTGTGAACTATTTGACAGGTACAGTCCCACCTTCAATCTATAATATAACTTCTTTGGCTCAGTTATATCTGACTAATAATCGACTACAAGGAAATATACCACCAAATATCGGATTTACACTACCCAACCTTCGAGTCTTCGCCGGTGGTGGTAATAATTTCACAGGGCCTATTCCGATGACGTTTGCTAACATCTCTGGTCTTCAAGTACTGGATCTTCCTAAGAACAGTTTCACTGGGATGCTACCTGATGAGTTGGGGAGGCTAAAAGGCTTGGAGAGACTCAATTTTGAAGACAACAGACTTGGAAGTGGAGGGGCTGATGACTTAAATTTCATCAGTTCCTTGGCTAATTGTACTAGTCTAAAGGGTCTGGGTCTATCTAGGAATCGCTTTGGAGGAGCATTGCCTTCATCTATTGGAAACCTTTCAAAGCAGCTCACAGTTCTAAACTTGGGTGGAAATAGGTTGAGTGGAAGCATTCCTTCAGAGATCGTTAACTTGATTAACTTGCAAATTTTTGCTGTGGAATATAACTATGGTCTGAATGGTAGTGTTCCTTCCAATATTGGGAATCTTCGGAACTTGGTGATGCTTTTGTTGCAAGGTAACAAATTAAGTGGGTCAATTCCACCATCCATTGGCAACTTGTCTTCGATCACTAAGCTTTGCATGAACGATAACAGGCTCGAGGGAAGTATACCAACAAGCTTGGGACAATGCAACAGCCTCATAGGTCTTGACTTATCTGGTAACCGACTTAGCGGCGCTATACCGAAAGAAGTTCTTCGTCTCTCCTCCCTTTCAGTCTACTTGGCCTTGAATAATAACTCATTTACAGGTCCATTGCCACTTGAACTGGGTGAATTAGTTCGTTTAACATTGTTGGATGTATCAAAGAACAGATTATCAGGCAACATTTCAAGCAATCTTGGTAAATGTGTAAGCATGCTTTACTTGGATTTGAGTGGTAACCAATTTGAGGGAACAATTCCTCAATCGTTAGAAGCTTTGCAAGGCCTAGAAGTACTAAATCTTTCCAGCAACAACCTATCAGGATCAATTCCCCAATTTCTTGGAAATCTTCACTCACTCAAGTATGTCAATCTATCCTATAATAACTTCGAGGGAAAAGTGCCCAAAGAAGGCGTTTTTTCCAATTCAACCATGATTTCTGTTCTTGGGAATAATAATCTATGTGATGGATTACAAGAATTACATTTACCTTCGTGCCCGCCTAGCCGAACACATTCATCCACCAAGTTTTCATCACCTAAAGTGTTAATCCCTGTAGTATCAACGGTCATATTTACTGTTGTTCTTTTAAGCATCCTTTATGTGTGTTATAAGCTCAAGAAGGGAAGGAGTAATGCTTCAACTTCATCTTCCTTCATGGATTTTCTACCACAAATTTCTTACTTTGAACTCAGTAGAGCAACTGATAGATTCTCTGTAGATAATTTTATTGGTTCAGGTAGTTTTGGTTCAGTGTATAAAGGTATTCTTTCAAATGATGGATCAGTTGTTGCCATTAAAGTTCTAAATCTTCAACAGCATGGTGCTTCCAAGAGTTTTCTTGATGAATGCAAAGCTCTCGCAAGTATACGACATCGAAATCTTCTCAAGATCATAACTACTTGCTCAAGCACAGATGAACAAGGAAATGAATTTAAAGCTCTAATCTACAATTTCATGTCCAATGGAAATTTAGACGGTTGGCTTCACCCCACAAATCATGAACACAATGAAAGAAGGTTGAGTTTCATTCAAAGATTGAACGTTGCGATTGACATTGCCTGTGGATTAGATTATCTCCATAATCATTGTGAAACATCCATTGTTCATTGTGATCTAAAGCCTAGCAATATATTGCTGGATGAAGATATGGTAGCTCATATAGGGGACTTTGGGTTAGCAAAATTCATGTTGGAAGGATCAAATTACCAATCCTCTTTCAGTCAAACCATGTCACTTGCACTTAAGGGTTCTATCGGATATATCCCTCCAGGTATTTTCCTTTCAATAACAATTGTTAGATCTCGATTTTCTATTGCTACAAATAATGAGTGAACAATTGCAGAGTACGGCATCGGTGGTAGAATTTCAATTGAAGGAGATATCTTCAGCTTTGGAATACTGCTATTAGAGATGATTATTGGAAAAAGACCCACCGACGACATGTTCGGCGATGATGGGAACATTCATGAACTCGCTACAGTGGCGTTGTGTCAAGGTATGCTAGCCATAGTTGACCCTTCGTTATTTGAAGAATCGTTCCAACAAGAACAGAATGAAGATATAATACAAGAAATCGCAATAATGAGTGAGGAAGATCGTAAGAGATTCGTACCAAGGTGGATGGAAGAATGTGTAGTCTCAGCAACGAAAATTGGCTTATCTTGCTCCTCCCCTGTACCTGGTGAGAGAACGCCCATAAATGTTGTCATTAACGAATTGCAATCAATTAAGAGCTCCTATCTCAAGTTTAATACGCCAACCCAAAAGTTCCACAGATATTTGTTACCTTAACCTTAGAAACGAATGAATTTATTCGGCAACTAGCATCGGGCTCTTGGTGGAAGAATGTGCGATGAAAAAGGCATCGTTTATCTCAAGGTGGAAGAAGGCTTCCCCAATCGGCCCACGAGGCCGACTACTTGGGAGGGACATGGCTTACCGGGTTTGGGTTAGGTCGTTAAGAGGTGGTGGGCTGATGGCTAAGACTCCTCCAACCACAATGGCATGGGGGTGTTGGAGGCGGTTGCCTCGTGGCCAACTCTCAAGGGTTGAAGTTCAGACGTGGAATTTTTCAGTTCATTCGGTTATTGCAGCAGTGTGAGTCGTTTCAGATAGGGAAATGTACACGCACGCACTTGGAGTCGTTTCAAATGCGATCAAAAAGCCTTCCTTTTACAGCAGAGAGACTACTACATATACTAAGATGCAAATAGAGATGCAGAAGGTCTTCTTCAGTTAGAGGTTAAGCAGTTTACCAAGAGGAAGATGCCAATAGAGATAAGGTCGGAAGTTAGAAGGGAAGAAGCGAAGACGAAGAGTAAGGAGAGAGAGAGAATTGACTCGCCAGTAATGTAATGCCTTTTGAGAGGAGCCAAGACGAGGTGATTCAGTTCAGGCAGGAGAAAGACTACTACTATCTATTTACCTCGTTCAAGAAGGCAAGGGAATAGTAGAGGGTCAGGTTTCTTCCTCTTTTCTTACAGTTCCAGAAGAGAAGGGACAGTAGTTTACCCCCTTCAATCCGAGAAGGGAATAGGAATAGAGGTGAATGGGCAGTAATTCTGTCTTATTAATCTCTCATTCATAACATAAAGAGTTTCGGCTTTCAAACACTGTCAAGCTGCTAACTCCTTCATTGATTCAAAGACTGTAAACTCTCTTTAATCGTTCATCTACTTTCTCTTTCACTCTTTTTACTATAAAGACCATGAATGAATTTTGTCTATCTTGCCCTTATTTTAAGGGCTATAGGTAATGTTGTATTAAGTCAAGAAGAAAGGAAAGAAAGATTAGCTCATTAACCTCTCCAACTCGGTTTCACTATTCCATTGCTTTCCAGTTCTAGAATCAATATAGTTGCTTTTCAAGACGAAAGAAAGCAAGACAAGACAAGATGAATTCTCCAGGGAACCCCTATTACCAAACAAACACCTATAATTACCGAGTGAAAGAAAAGAGCTACTGAATATGCTTTACCGTCGGCCGAGTTCAATCAATCCATAGGACAAAGAAAGTCAATGCTTAATTTAATCCCATACCGACTCTCAATCAACCTAATTTTTTGAATGATAATATTTAAAAAAAGAAAATGTTTATAACTTCCATGTTATATAAAATGTATATTTATCACTATAAAACTTTGTGACATTGAATGATTTACATGAATATTTAAAATATTGAAAAAAAAAAGGATAAAAATTGATCATATGTAAAAAAAATTTATAAAGGCAAAAGATTAATTAATAATTAAATATTTTACCCTTAATTTTTTTTTTTCTTATATTTCATGGATTCTTAAAAAAAATGTAAATTCATCGTGATCTAAACGTTTGCGAGTGGATAAATTTAATGAGAAGCATGAGATTCCTGGATTTGTTCGTATGTCCACGTGATCCCATTGGTCATTTGGGACACGTGTTCGATTCGGAGGATGCACGTGAGAAGTCGTTTTCCCTTATCCTCACGAGGCCCCACCGTTATATAATGGCAACCACCAGAAACTCCATTAAGGCGCGAGACCTAAGCTCTGAGAGGCATTGTCAGTAGCAGCAGACTAAGATTGTGGAGAGGATGAAAACCCTAGCGACCTCCAACTCCATCATCGGTAACAATGCAGCTCCTTCTTCCTTCTCTGCTTCTTTGCTGAAAGAGCGTCTTCTTTGTGGAGGACCTGAATTCGTCTCTTATCGGAGGCATCGGAAATTGACTAGTTCTGGACTCCAGCATTTGGTATCGTTGCGCCGGGGAGGCATTGAATTTCTTCCTTGCTTCTCATCTCATCAGCAGGTCTCTTCCCTTTTCGGTATCGGAAGTTCTTGCTTTGTGATTGTTCTACGGCTTCGTTTGGTTTCTTTTTTGTTTTCTTGAAGAATCTTGGATTGTTGGATTACTTTCTTCACCGTTTTTTAATTATTATTTATGGTTTCTTAATGTGTGATTGAGAGATAAGCTGTGCAAACTTTCTTAGCGGTTTATCTTGTTTATGGATTCTTGATGAATGATCGGGAGTTAAAGCTGTGCAAACTAAGTTACTGTAACGAAGAAGGAGCCTTCAAAGTGCGATTTTGCTCGTATGAAAGTCTCTCACCGACTAAGATAGCGCTACGCCGTCGATCTTGAGTTATTAAACGAATTCTCTGTTCTTTATTTCCTCATATTTTGTATGTCTCGACATTAAGTTAGTTTCTTCATCGAATAAAGGAGTCGGTTCCTGAAGGTTTATGTTAGATCAAAGCAAGAATAAGAGGAACTTCGGAAGTCCAGAAATGGCTATGCTTCAACAAGATGTAGATTATTATTTCCAGAAAATCTAGGAAGTGATTGTGGTAAAGATTGTTGCAAGAATGTATGTATGCTAATAGAATCATCCTGATTTTGGTACAACTGGTTCTTTGCAGGCAGATACTCAGAATGAGGTAGTTGAGAATCAAGACACGAGTAAGTCAAAATGATTGATAATAAATGATTACTTCCTCTGGGAAAATAGGCTCATATTTTTGTATCGACATCTTTTATGCAGATCAATCAAAGACAGTTCGCGTCAAATTCCAGCTGCAGAAAGAGTGTACATTTGGGGAGCATTTCTTTGTAGTAGGTGATGATCCAAGTTTTGGTTCCTGGGACGTTACAAGTGCAATACCTTTAAACTGGGCAGATGGGCATCTATGGGCAGCAGAAGTGGTAAGTAGAGACTCATCAAGAACATAAAAATCTCAATATAAAGAAATAAGTTTCTTAGACGATTTTAATATTTGGTCATAATTTTTTTTCCTTACCAAATTAGGAGATTCCTGTTGGAAAAGCAATCCAATTCAAATTCGTACTTCAAGGAGAAACTGGGAATGTTGTATGGCAGCCTGGTCCTGATCGAACATTTCAACCCTGGGAAACATCTAATACAATCATCGTTTCTGAAGATTGGGATAGTGCTGAATCACGGATACTCGGTGAAGAAGAAAACATTATTAACCAGGATGAGCATTCTCCCGTTGTCTCAGAAAAGTTAATGATTGAGGATTCATTATTTGCTCTTGCCGATGCTTCAATAGTAGAAAAATCATCGGTGGAATCGCATGAAGTGATGATTCTTGGCGATAACATCTCAGCTTCAGAAGAAAATGGCAGTAATGTCTCTGCTTCAGAAGAGAATACCAAAGATATTATGGTATCGAATATAATCTCACCAAAGGAGAGCTACATTCTCAATACAAGTAACAAGGCAGTGAGCGAGGTATACAGCAATCCGAATGGGGAGACAACAATTATATCCCAGAGTGAAACAAAGAGACCAGAGGAAGTTTTGGAAAATTATGAGAAAGAAGTAACAGCGAAGATCCCTAGGAATGCGGATGTTCAAGAAAGCTTTATCAACTATGGCGTTCCTGTTCTAGTTCCTGGTTTACCTCCAACACCAACAACCTCAAATCAGGATGCACCTCAACATGAAGTCGAAGATGATGGTTCCATCGATGGAATTAATGAATCTAACGATCATAAACTACCTGAGGTAACAGCTTGATGGCCTGACCTACTTTTACCATTTTTTTTCCTGCTTCAACTCTTGTTACCACAAAAATCGTCCTTGCAATTTGTGTGCACCTTCGTGTATTGTACTTTTGAAGGAGATCCTGACTACAAAGGACAGAACTTTTGATAGCTTAAATGTTTTCGAATTGATATGTGCAAATGATGAAACTTGACACTGGCCATGCAAGTGATCTTGTATAATTTTCGATACTAAGCCTTGCCTATGCTGTCATAGTTCTATGGCCTAATAATTCCAATTTTGGTATCTCAATTCTATTTTGCTTATTTCATACCACCAGCAATTCAAATTATCGCACAACCAAACATTTTTCATGTCATCAAATATCGGTATAGCCTATAAGAGTAAAACATAACTGTGATTCTCTCCTAATGCTCTGCTTTAAATTACACGTTCAATTACCTATTAAACTTTTAAAACTGCAAATAAACCTGTGATCTAATATTTGATAGCAACTAAAATCACACTCTGGAAGCATGGGACTGCAACTCACTAATTTAGTTCTTTTGTTCTTCTATGATTGATTCAACCTCATCTACTGCTGTACTGTGTTACATAATGTTCTTATGCCTCGTATTTCTTATGTATTAATCTCAGAACATACAGGATCCTGATGTTGTGGTAGAACTAGAGATGGAAGTGAAGTCAAGTTATGAAGAAAATGTCGTCCAAAGTGAAATTAGACAAGAGGATGACACAAATAAAATTGCGAATGAATCTGATTTGCAGGAAGTCAACGGTAGTATCGTTCGGAATGACATAACATGGGGTCATAAAACTCTGAAGAAGTTCTTCTCCAGTTTAAGGTTGCTTTAGCATCACAACTTCATTCTTATTTCTCTGCTATGTTGTTCCCCAAGAAATTTTCAACTTACTGTGACCCAATTGGGTGGATGGAAGCTGCTGTTGGGAATTGTACATATGGTCTGCCACTTCACTATATTCTAATACTACTTGGTAAGATTACTCTGTATTGAGTTTGTTTCGATTAGCATATTTTATATAAGGATAATAGACGTTTCACATATTTCCACGATGATATAATATTGCCCCATTTGAACATAAACTCTCGTGTTTTCTATTTTAGAATCACTCATCTAGTCAATGTAAAATTTTGTTTTGCACGTTTTATCGAGAGATAAATATTTTATATTATTCTGAACGGTTACTTTGACAGGTGTAAATACACAGACTACGAAATTGGTTCATTAGCGAATCTGGACTGCAATGGTTTTGCAAGAATCTGGTAATGATAGTCTTTAGTCATTTGGATTGTATGTATATGTTTAATTTTAAATTTCAAGAACTGTTGTCATATATTGTTTTGCATTATAATTTTTAGCACTGCATCAGAACGTACGAGTGAAAAGTGAGTTCATAATTAAAGAAACCTTAGATCATGATGTTACTGTGAAGGGGCAACAACTGCGTAGGTCTGAAAAGTTGATCATTAAAGACTGCATATAGCGTACGCCACAAATAGTGTTGTTGGGTTGCCTAGTAATGTGTTATTTTGTCACTTCAAGGTAGATCTCACACAGAACAAGGCCAAATTAAATGAAGGTTGCCCTGGTTGATGATCGTACAGTAATCGATACTCCCAATGCGTGGGGGCATTCGTTTTCGTTTTCATTTAATTTAGTAGACGGCATCTGCATCGTTAACTGTCTTTCCATGCATGTGAGTTTTAATTTTAGCCTTTCTAGGTGGGCAACTAATTGCGAATCCAGGTGTTAGATCCAAATTTATTCAAATCTGAGTTAGTTTGATTTAATTCTTCTTGTTTTGTTACTACGATTAGAGAGAGATTTTTACATTCATAAGAAATGTTTCATTCTACTTTCTAATCGACATGGGGTCTCATAATGATATCCGAGCAAGTCATTGAATGGTGTAAAATACTGATTGGAGTAAAAATGGATCTTTCCCATAATAGTCGAATTTTCTAAAGCAACAATATTCCTGACTAGCCAAAGCAACAAAGCAACAATATCCACTAGAATTAGAGAAGAAAGAAAAATCTATCTATTTGAAAATTGAAAACGCTATTCCAAAGAAATGCTTAGATTCCCTAATTACTAAAATTCAACTCAATATCACTCTTCACATCTGGATCCAAGGAAACGTTGCAATATGCTCTCCCCACTTTACCCCTTTCTTGAAGAAAGAAACGTGGCATTAGCATCCACCAATAACCTTACACAACAAATTAATAAATAGACAATACAACAAAAAGCACCTAAACTGCGTCCCCATTCTCCATGGTGTTTAATAAGTCTCCTCAGCCTTCATGGTTTCTGCGCCTGTTGAGCTCAGAAAAGCAGGAGACGTGAGTATAAATATATTCTATTCTCTAACGGGAGGCACAAGTTTTTCCTACCCGCTCAAGAAGTTCAATAGACGAACAGAAAATAATTTATGTATACAAAGACGGCCGTTATTCCCAAGCTAGTGCAGCAGCAACCCTGCAAACCTTTTGATCATCTTCAATCCGTTCATCAAATCATTCACGGTATTGTTGAGGATTATTGAAAGAAGCAGTACCACATGAGCTAATAAGAGAAAGATTATGGGTTTACAAATAAGGAATATTATCTCCAATGAGACGTTTTTAAGAAACCAAAAGCAAAGGCAATCTTAAGGAGGGACCTAAAATATTAAATACTACAAGGTGAATAGGAGCAGTGGTTAAGTATCACCTAGGAAGCATTTGAGTCAGACTGTTTGAGCTGTTAAATTGAGATGAAGATGGAGAAGTCTTCATAGCTTTTTTATATTTGATTCCATGGGAGGAGGATGATCCCCCAGAAATAGCAGCACCACCACCACCACCATTTAACTTCCTAGTTTTGTGTCCTTTGTATACTCCAGGCTCTGTCAGCAGGTTTTCGTTAAGGTGTACCTCTCTTGAAAGCATTTCCACGACCTGCTTCATGGTTGGCCTTTGATTTGCTGCTGCTTGGGTACAGAAGAGTGCAACCGTGATGAAACGCACCACCTCGGCCTTTGGATAATTGATCAGTTCCGGATCAATGAGTTCTACGAGCCGTCCTTCTTGTTTTAATTTCCAAGTCTACAAGTGGCACAAATCACATTTATCAACTGACGTATACTGCAGGGAAAATGATTATACATCCACGTCTCAAATCCTTTACACACAAATGAAATGAAATATGATTGACGATGCCAAAAAAATAAGTTCTAACAAGTTAACTTGCCTATGTAAAAATCACTTACCCTTGGTGACTATAAAACAGTAGTACTCATGAAAGAAAATTCACTTTCAACTCCATAAATGAATGAGCAATAAGTTCTTGTTTTTTTAAAAAATGGAAATGTACCCATTCTACGAGAATCAACAACTCTTCTCCAAATGCTGCTTTGGTGCTGCTACTTCCACTAATTACTTCCAGCATGAGCACACCAAAACTGTATACATCTGCCTTCTTTGTCAACTGTCCCAAGAGTGCATACTCGGGAGCCAAATATCCACTGAAGGCACACGAAATGGTCAGAAAATACTTAAAGAGGAACAGAATATCATGCAATAAAAGATCAAGAAATTAGTGTTGTGTTTCATCTTGAGGGTGCGTGGATGACTGAAGAAGCAAAACCAATGACTGCAAACTAAAATGGGATGGGCTACCAGATCTTAAGAATGCAATGCACCTATGTACCACCCAGCACCTTTTTATTGGACATTTTCACAACAGCCAATTCATGGCTACTTCACATTTGATCTCTCTTGATCAGATAAGTTACTTGCTGAGTGACTATTTGACCTTGGTAAACTCATTAGTCAAATCAAGATAATGGTGACTTTTGGTTCTTGAGGAGGCTGCATAAGCCATAAAGAAGCCATAAAGATAACGGTGATCAGGTTAAAAATTCCCTTTTTGATTTTATCTATTTATGAGAACCGATTACTACACAGATGAAGCAGCAAATTAATTAGTAAAGTTGCTTCTCTGCCAAAAAATAATGAGGAGACAATGGAAACAAGTCGTTCTCAGAATATTTTCGAAGCAAGGTTCACAAATATCAAGATAATGAAAGACAGCGCTTACACAGTTCCGGCCACTCGAGTACTAACATGAGTAACGTTGTCCGGGAAAAGTTTAGCCAACCCAAAGTCTCCTATTTTAGGATCGAAGTTTCTGTCAAGAAGTATATTGCTAGCCTTGATATCTCTATGAACAACAGACGGTTCAGCTTCCTCGTGTAGAAATGCAAGACCCAAAGCTGTACCGAGACAAATCTTAGCTCTCATTGGCCAATCCAGAACGACATGCTTACTCAATGTACCTGAAATGATAGTTGCTAATGATAATCTTATACTGATGATAATTTCATCAACTGAACAGATAAGACTGCAAGTATTTGTTTACAAGCTACATAAAGAATGGACATTGTCAGAAGATTAAACTGACAATAAGACACATGTTAACCGCACTCAAATTTCAGAATAGAAACAGAATTTCTTACAAGCATAAGAACAAATTTATACCGACCTAGGATAAATAAAATCCACTTGAATGCTTCGGAAGCTTACCAAGCAAAGTATTCGCAAGGCTGTTGTTTTCCAGGTATTCATACACCAAAATTCGATGCGTGCCTTCGACGCAACAACCGATCAGTTCAACGAGATTTTGATGTCTTATATCTGATATCATATTTATCTCGGTTAAAAATTCACGAGTTCCCTGAGAAGATTCTGCAGACAGTGATTTTACTGCAACATTGGTACCATCCCTCAAAACTCCCTATCCTCGCAAATCAATGACAGATTCAAAATGTATCAGAATTGATATGGGAAAGGTACCTAGAGGGAACAAATTACAGGAAAGAACCATAAAAATTAGATTATCATTTGTCTCACTTTGTAGACAACTCCATAACCTCCAGCACCTATTCTGCTTGATGGATGAAAATTACTAGTGGCTGACCTCAGTGAATTATAAGAAAAGATGCGTACATTGTTGTTAACAGCAATCCCTAACCAAGTACAACACAGAAAATCATTTCAATTTCAAATCCAAAGAGTCGAAGTATTTACTTATATATATAAAAAATAAAAATAAAATAAAAAAAATAATAAAAAAAAACCTTCTCGCCTCACCAAACAATCAGAATTTATGGAAACCTATTTTAAAAATTATAGAATATATAAAATTAACCTAGAATCAACAAAAGAAAAACAAAGTTACCTGATTCTCACCTTCTGCCGGTTCCTCTGAGCTGCTATTTCCTTTACAGCAATTCAGGATTGCAAAGCAACAGGAAGTCATCGTTGCAACAGACAGTGTCACTCATCTACATACAGACCAATTTTAAGTTGTACCACACAACTCAATGGATCAAAAAACATCAAAATTCAAGAAAGATTTCTAAACCCCTTGCAACAATTAGGAGAATCGTCACAGAGATGAGCTAAAATGAGCTGAGCGTCGGCACCTAAAAAGGCTAGATGGTAATGGGGACCCAAAGGGGCGCCCAAGAAAAGGTGTGGAAGAAATGCCAACGGAGATGGCGATTGCTCAAATTTAGAAGAGATTGAGATGAAATGGAGTGACTAAATGATCAAAAAAGTTGAATGATTTACAGAAAAGACAGAGCTGTCTAATAGAATGGAAACATATGTTGATCGTGTCAATTTTCAATTTCTTGGGTTTTCTTGGGTGTGTTAATCCAAGGATTCAAGGAAAAAAAAGTTCAAAGGGAGAGGTGTTTTAAGGAACCAAAAAGTTGAATTTTTGAAGGAAGTGTCGTTGGGTTGGTTAATATATCACGATAAACTAAAGTCGGAAGCAGGATGACCATAAGAATCCTTCTGGTGTCAAAACACTTTTTTCAGTTTACTTTTTTCTGGTCAGAGCAAGAAGTTCATACTGTATTTTTTACATCATTTTTAACTTCCAAGGCCGACGCAATTTGAATCTTACTTTTTTTTTTTCTTGGTCAGAGAAAGGAATTCATACAGTAATTTGACATCAGTCAAAGTTCTAAGGCCGACTGTGCTTCTAGAATTCAGGCGCTGGGTGAGCCTCATAGGAAATGTCATTACTACCCTTGCATCTTCAACTCCTACGTCATTCTACATTTCCCATGACGTCGGAATTGAAATCACAATTCACAACAGCTTTTTCTGGGGATTAAAAATTCAAAAGAAAAAAAATAAGAATTATTCGGGAAATGTCATTACTACCCTTGTCTGTCCAAATAAAATGCCACTGTTGTGTTTTGGTTTATCTATTTTGTATATTAATTTTAAAATGTAACCCATTTCAATGAAGTTAGAAAAAGAAATAGTTATTAATTTTAAATGAATTATTTTTTTTAGAAAATAATGAAACACAATACCTATTTTTCTATTTTCTTTGTGTTGATAATTCTTTGTAAAACTATCCAATCAATTACTTTTTAATTAGAAAAACTGATCTATTTTATTACTAAATATAACCATGGATTACAATCCCAAGAAATGTTACCTGGTTTGCATTAATTTTATAAAATAAAATTATGTAATGTAATATATATATATATATATATATATATATATGTGTGTGTGTGTGTGTGTGTGTGTGTGTGTAGAACCAAAACGAATCAACGAAAGTCAGTCCAACCGATTTCAATCAGTTGCCCCAATTTTTTGAGTTTCAGTTGATCGCCCTTGGTGATTATTTTAGCTTATTTAATTCATAAGAAAAAAGAACAATCTAATCATCTCAAAGAAAAGTTTGCCCAACTTAATTGATTTGGAAATATTGCAGACTAGAATCATCTAAATTCACATGCAGGCGCAATAATAAAAAATAAAAATAAAATACCCACCCAAGAAATGCAATAAAAAAATCTGTGCGGAAAAACAAATAGCATACCACTGTGACATACTTCGCCAATTAAAATCGCTGCCGACCACCTGCGAACGCAAACCTGCTGTTTCATGAGATAAAAGGCTAGAGAAGAGAGAAGACTTCAGAATTTTCCTCAATAATTTATTGGTTAGGAGAGGGCTTGTCCGACAGCAAATTATATTATATTTTCCATATGAATTATTAAAGGAATAAAACAGCTTTATTTCCTAGGAGCAGGCTCGACTTTATACACATACATTACTATTATTTTTTATATGGCAAAAGATATGTTAAGAATAAAAGTCTGCAAATTCTGAATACACTAGCCCATATGAAATCTTTCCAAATATAATAGAGATGGAGCGGGATAAGAGTAAATATGAAAGTATCAAATGTTCACAATTTACAATAATAATATGTCACACTTCCTATTTCGTAAAAGATTATTTATTATAGAATCTGTAGGTAAGTATTATTTATTGTCTAAATTCTTTTTCAGTCCAAAATATAGCTTAGCCCATAAAATACAAAATTATCTTTTATAATAGTTGAAAGTTCTAACTTCTTACATGGTCGAGTATATATTAAAATAAGTGTTCTCTTACTGTATTTCATTTCACATTTTCATGTCCACATATTTTACCTTTATTTATTCATCTTTTTCTTTATTGACTCATAAAAAGATCAAGTAAAAAACAGAAATAAACAAATGGCCAAAAAGACAAACTAAATAGCAATAAGAAAGAGGTTGGACAATGATCACATTACGCTAACATTATTGACAAAGAAAAAAGAACCCTTCAACATGGTCGAAAGTTATTACCAACCAATAAACAAATGAACGAATGAAACAATAAAACACACGAAAGTCGTTACTTAACTTTATGTATTTATTTTTAATTAAAACAATTTACCCGTTACCTTTTTTTCCTATTTTCTTTTTTCCTTCAAAAGATATATCTATACTAATTGTTGATCAAAGTTTTAACAAACCTTAGAACAAGAAATCCTAAATTCAAACTTACCCCATCAGCACTTCATTTAAAATAATAATAATAATCCTAATAATAATCCGGAGGGGTTTGATATCATCTACATACAACTACACCTAACGCTTGAAGCATAAAATCAAAGATCAATTTACATAACATCACCTGTTTTGCAAATTAATAGGCAGCGGTTTCCTGCGACTTCTCAAATAACAGATGCAAGAAATCTGCACGGGAAAAGAATAGTATTAGGTAATAATTTAATCTTATAGTTTAGTTCGTTAAAATCTAATTTTTGAACTTCCTATAACAATTTATGCATGTATTTTTAAATTTGTAATAATTTAATCACATAAAAAATCTCATCATAATAAAGTGTCATTTTTTATTGCATAATAACTTGATGCTTGTACGTTATTAACACACTTAAGCCTTAATCACATTATTGATTAGCATATGTGAAAAAAAAAAATTGATTAATCTTACCAATATATATTACCATACAAACTAAATTATTACATATTAAACTTAAAAAACAAATTGTCATAATATTGAAATATAAGAACTAAATCACAAACTAAGTTTATTGACTAAATTTTTTTATGAAAATTTAAAAACTAAAAATGTTATTTAACCTAACATGATTCCTAGACAACTTTTGCATACCATTTTGTTATATTATTTATAATTATCTTCGTATATAATCTGTAATAACAATTAAAGATATTTCTCTCTCATAAAATCATGTAATGTGATTAGTGACCACAAGTAATAATTTTGTCAATATATCACACATGGTTGTACGATCAAAATTCTTAAAATAATTTCAAAAACAGAAGTACGCGATCATTTTGAACTCAATCTACCAAAACAAGTCGGTCACTTGAAGTTGCAACTACTCATCCTAATAAGAACTTAACTGTAGAAAGAAGGCGAGAAGCACACACATTATGCAATGGTCCTTGGTGACCAAATCTCCACTATATTTTACTGCCTACTTGGTTACAGAAGAAGAGACCTATCATTAACAGGGGGCTCACTTTTCTTACTTGCATGCAGTTGATGAAATTATGAAAACGACGCCAACGGCAACCATTTCCAACGCCACGCTATTCAAGATTTGGTGATAGGATTACTATTTATCAGAGAATATTCTAGCATGGACGGAGAAGTAAGGACCCCCAAATGGTGTAGTAGTAATCAGAGCTAGGAAGTTTCAGTTGATATTCTCCACTTTGAGCATAAACTCTCATGACTTTGTTTTGTGTTTCCCCAAAAACCTCGTACGAATGGAGATGCATTCCTTATAAACCCATGATCATTTTCTAGATTAGTCAACGTAGAACTCCCTCCCAACCATCCTCAACAATACTCCCCTCGAACAAAGTACACTATAAATTGTCTCCTGAGGTTTATGGAGTCTTCGAACAGCCTCCCCTTTAATCGAAGTTCGACTCCTTCTCTGGAGTCGTTGAACAAAGCACACCCTTTGTTCGACACTTGAATCACTTCTGACTACACCTTCGAGGCTCACAACTTTTTTGTTTGACATTTGAGGATTTTATTGACATTGTCAAGTTAAGGGCATGACTTTGATACCATGTTATAAATTACGACCCTCCACAATGGCATGATATTGTCCACTTTTAGCATAAGTTCTGGACTTCCCCGAAAGGCTATACCAATGGAGATGTATTCCTTACTTATAAACTCATGATGAGAATAGCCGAGGTGGGACTCCCTCTCAACCATCTTCAACCATCTTCAAGAGGCTAGGAAATTGAAAGAAATTGAAAAGAAGGAAATGTAAAACACAAGAGTAGAGAAATCTCAATGAGGGCCTGACTAGCATTTTCCCTGAAACAAGAAGGAACTAGTAACTCGCTTCCATATTTAGCCATAGATTTGATTCCTAAATCCGGAAATTCAGTGGTATCAGTAAATTAACTGTGGCACTTCTATATAGAACTCGTGAATTGACTTGGAGAAGTATCAATGTTGGAGATCATAGAAAATCATCGCAAGGAAATACGAAGTCGAGATACTAATTGAAATCTAAAGGATCCAATTCAAGGAACGAACAATAGAGCGAAACACTGTAAGCAAACACACAAAATACAGAAATAATCCACACATTCTCGCCTAAGCTCCAAAACTTTGCTCAAACACTAGACATAGATAGATTAGTTCACCAGAAGGTAGAAAATAAGGCATTGAGAACCAATCAATTTTATTTGATAGGGATTAGGCAACAAACCGATAACTCCGACTTGTGTTGTAGCCGACGTAACCTAGAGCTGCGATTTCGCGATGAAAATCTCACGGAAAATGAGCAGCGATCATATCGAGGACTTTGATCCTGTACATTTCCCATACTCCTGAAGTTGGAGATCGTCTTTGAAAAGATTCAAATCCATCACTGGTATTGGAAGTGAGAAATGAGAGTGAACACATCCCGTCGATTAAACTTAGAAATTGCCGCCAATTCTCCGGGAAAATAAAAATAAAAAACCCCCGCCATAATCGGATATGGGCCTGAACGGTTGTCCATACCGGTCCAATGGAAATAAAACCAGGCCCATTTACAATTGTCTACTTCTATCTTATATTTAAATAATAATAATAATAATAATAAATTGCTAAATGCAGTCTTTTTATGGATGAATTTTTTATTGACGTGCCTGAAAAAAATATGAAATCAAATATTAAATTAATTTTTAATAATGTAAATTTGAATGTGATAGAAAAAAGTTTTGGCGCACTGCACATTCTTGCGGTGGAACGCTTCTGAATTTTATCAGAACCTGCAAGGAAAATGAAAATCCAACTCCAAATTCTCAACCATTGTAGTTTGGTGAGTCGTGAACAAACAGAACAGAACAGAACCAAATTGAAAACCCTATTTCATTGCTCCTACACGTGGGGGTGCCGAACTCCTGTGCATCGACATAGCTTCTGCCATATTGGTTAAAAAATGAATAAAATTGGAAGCTACCACAAAAAGGCTTGAAGTCTATCAAATTTAGAATTGATAAGAATTATGCACAACAA